TGAAGAAAGTGGCTTTTGCCCAATTACATCTATCTTCGAGAGAAGGGGTTAAGAGAGGAGGAGGGGGGAAAGGGGCACATTTTTTTCTGCCGGGCTGAGTCCTAAGTGCTTTTCAACCGTCCGTCACCGAAACCCCAACCTGTTAAGTTCAAGGAAAAGCTGGCTCCAACCAACATTTTAACCTTTTCAGAAAGGGGAAATTGGCATCTACGGACACACACACACACCCCTTCCTCCCCAGAGCGGGAAAACCAGTCCCCGCCACCCGAGTCCCCAGCGCAAGGAGAGAGGGAGAGAGACGAGGAAGGCGGCGGCTCCGGAGGTTACGCGGGAACCTGGGTTCCCCTCCACAGACCACCCCGCGGCAGCTTCCCCGAAGCAGCCCGTCAAGGGACGGCTTCTGGCTCGCTCGCCCCCTCCCCTCTCCCGCCGCTTCCCCACACAAGGACGGGCGGAGACTGCCGGGGGAAAGGGTGGCCGCTTCGCTCCGGCTCGTCCCGCCGGGATTGCCCCTCTTTCCCCCAACACCGTCCTCACCTCCATCCCAAGCCGAGAGACCCTCCCCTTCTTCGCCGCCCGCCTCCCCCCACACACACTGGAAAGACTCCCTTGCGCGACAATCCCTTGTCCTTACCACGGGGTTTGTATTAGCCGAGCTCGCCATGTCCCGCGCCACCCCCGGGCAGGACACACATATATATATACACACACACAGAGTCCCAACGGGACCGGCGGCTGAGGCAAAGCGAGCAGGCAGGCGGGCGGGCGGCGGCTGAGGCACCCCCCGGTACCCCCTCCCCTCAGACACGAACAAGCTGAGGTAAACTCCTTATTTCTTCCCTCCTCCTCCGCCTGCCCCCCCGTCTCGTCTCAGGGGTCCCCCCCTGAGCCCCTTCAGAACTTGCCCGCCGCTGCCGGGGGAGAGGGACCGGCGGCTGAGGCAAAGCGAGCAGGCAGGCGGGCGGGCGGCGGCTGAGGCACCCCCCGGTACCCCCTCCCCTCAGACACGAACAAGCTGAGGTAAACTCCTTATTTCTTCCCTCCTCCTCCGCCTGCCCCCCCGTCTCGTCTCAGGGGTCCCCCCCTGAGCCCCTTCAGAACTTGCCCGCCGCTGCCGGGGGAGAGCGCGTACGAAGCGGCTCTTCCCCACCACCCCCTTTTTTCCCCCACTGCCCGGCCTCACACGGCGGCCCTTGGGCTGCAGCCGCCAGCCGCCTGCTCCGCTTGCTTCGCCCTTTATATAGCGAGTGCCGAGGAGCTGCGCGAGCGGCTAGAGAAAGGGGGAGGCCGAGGAAGGGAGGGGAAGGAAACACCGCGCGAGTGAGCGAGATTTTTTTAGCTCCACTTCTTCCCCTAACTTCCGTCTTCCGGTCTCTAGGACCGCCCACACACACACACAACTAATCCGGGGGACGTTTTTAGATTTTGGGTTTCTTGGACTACAACTCCCAGAATTCCTTCGGCCGACGAGCGGCCTAGGGAATTCTGGGAGCTGTAGTCCCAAACCCCGAAATCGGCACACCTTTAAAAGAGGTGCGAGAGTCTTAATAGTGCTTTTAATAAACGCTGAGCCGCCTGTTCAATATATATACAGTATAGGAATCTGAGGGTTGGGTGCTTGGTCATAGAGTAACGAAGAGATAGAACGGCGCCACCGGGAGCTTGCTGCCAACGGCATCATTGTAAAGAGATGCAAAAATTTTCCTAACTCTATGGCTACTGCCAACGACACAGATAGAAAAAAAGAACTAGAAAAAAAGACACGTTGCCCCTCGACTTAATTTCCGGTTTTGATGTGGGCGGCTTCTTCCGCGGGCGGGAAAAGAATATTAAAATTGGGGAATTTCCTATGCTCGACCTTTATATAAGATTCTGCTTTTTTTTCTGTATAAGTGGCTGGTTATGTTCAAATAAGAATTGGAATCCAAAGGCAAAGCGAAGGCAAACCACTAAAAACCCCGCTATCTACCGGTCTTCGTCGTATGAACACTGCTTATTTTAGGAATTAAAATGTTCCTGAAGTCTCATGGTGCCTCTGGTTTCTAATAACTTGCTGGTTCTGCACCGAAATAAAATATAGCGGGGATCAGCAGCACGTAGACTGGCATCTACTAGTAAATCTGGCCGATTTGTAGTAATACAGTAATAGATCAACAAGGATTTCTTGACTCTTACTTGCTTAACAATAACCACTCTAAGTACTGCCTCTCTCTTGCACTGAAGAATTTCAGTGTCTGGGAGAGAGGATCAGGAATGTATATTATTAGGATCAGGAATGTATATTATTACACAGAACTGTAGGCAATGTTTAGTGTAAAAAATAACACTTCTGCTCACAATTGTATAATTCTCAAGGTATCTGCTTTAAGGATGTGTCTTCTTTGGTGTATCCAAAGAAGACACGTTTTCTGGCTGTACCAGAAAACAAAATACATCCCCAAAACCCATATCTGTGCTGGTTTCTGATTGCCTGTTCTGCGTATACCTGAAAAGTTTCTGCCTACAGGATTTTGAACATTTAACTAGTCAGACCGGTAAAACGTGTCCTGTAATGAAAGCCAGTAAATGCTAGACGACATGCTTGTCATTCCAACCAATATGGCAATTAATAACTGATTTGAAAACTGTGGCTATATTTTATTTTGCATCTGCTTTCCATGCAATTTACAAGTTTTCCCCCCAGAAAATGTCATGGCATTGATGGATGAGTAATCTTTTATTAGGAGAATAGTAATAATATATGCTAGGAAACTTTGATCTTGGTGACTTATCAATGAATTGAATAGCTGCAAAAATATTCCCCCCGCCCAGCTTTTGTTGACTTGACAGCCTGGACCTATGTATATGAACTCAGGATTGCTGTACTTAGTTCAGTACAGTTGCACTCCTCCTGCAACTGGGAAATCACACAGGCTAGTGAGGAAACCACCTGGAAGTCAGGCTATTTGTTGCCATCTCTTTAATTGTAACACTTACTCCTAAGTATTTGCCCAGTATTTTTACATATTTCTTCAAGGTTGGCCAGGTTCCATACCATCTGTGAATAGAGTGTTTTGAGGTGCTTTCATGCATTTGAATCAGGATATAGCCATATTTGAGGCAAACCTGCCGAAATCAGTGTCCATAGTCCTATTGCTAGTGTGGTGTAAATGGCATAACTTTCGGTGACAGATTGCCACAAATTACAAAGTCAATGCAGAAACTGTTGAGTGCTAGGTTGTCCAACTCAGTACAGCACACGTAATATCTTCTACATCGATTTCATAACTTACAGCAAAAATTGGATCAAAAATTATTCCATTTACGCTATGATGACAAGAAACTTAATTGACTCACTGATTTATTTCAGACTAAGTTTTGATCCAGCCCTTTATGGTGAAGGTCGAGAGCACTGGGTTATACCTCTAATGTTCTTCAGTTTGGGGATAGGGCAACTAAATCTTATGGTTTTTCTTCATCTAGTAGTCAGTGGCCAAAATCTTATTGCTTAGTGTAGTAAATCACACTAGAGTAGGCCTGATTAATTCATGGGAATTTAATGACTTAATTCCTCTGTAAATTCCATTGATTGAAATGGGCCTATTTTAACGTAATTTACTACACTTAGTCACAGTTAGAATAGATCCATTTGAATCAATGGAACTTATGGAAAAGTTGACTCACCAAATCCCCTTTGATTCAATTGGCCTAATCCAATATGATTTACTACACTAAGCACCAGGATTTGGGCCAGTAGCAGAGTCCTGTTATTAGGACCATAGCTGAACCTGTATTATTGAACACAAGCTGCAAATGTATCCTGCGTGAAAACACTACTTCAAATCGTGTTTTATTTTAGTTGGTTGCTAATATGAGTTGCTTTCAGTTCATCATGTTTATACGCCTCTAAGATACTATTTCTGGAGTTTCATAAATTGTGCTCAAGTTCTGAAGACATTCTTGGTTTCATATTTGCTGAAGCATACAGAAAGCTAACTCTTGGTCAACTGTAATTTAGTTGTGAATGTAACATGCATTGTTTCATCATAGAAATATGCAGCAGATACAAACATTTATCACAAGAATTTAAGATTGGTCTGCCATTCCGAAAACAAACAAGAAGCTGAATTAAAATAGTGGATGCTGAGTTATCTGATCTGTCATAACAATCTTGTAGTGATAGCGTGCATCCCCTAAGTATGAAAAGTATGAAAAGTAATACACCTGTCAAATCACTCTGAGATTCATATTGACTTTTAAAAGTTTTTTTTTTCAGAGGGCTTGGCCACATTTTGGGACATCATTTATTTAAGGTGAATCACAAAAAGGTTTGTCAATTTGAGTCTCAAAATTCTGTTACTTACAAAAAGAGTCAATAATCTGAAACACTGCATCCATGTGGTTGGTAATCATGCCAGACTTCAAATAATGTATTTATTTGTTTATTTAAAATACTTTTACCCCTTCTTTCTCCTAAGGGAGATAGTGAAGGAGAGAGCTGCAACCTAATACCCTAAATCTAATAGCAACCTGAGACCAAAGAACAATAGACTGAGGATGATGGCTGCATTCCAGCGCAGGGACATGACGCAGACAACTGCCTCCTTGTTTTGGTTTAGAGGCTGGCCTTAACTTGTATAGTTGTCTAAAATGTTCCTGTTATTTGCTTGCTTGTTTCAGATTAAATATTTTTATTAACAAACATATTTGGCTTTCATAAGTGTTTCAATTATATATTTAAAATGTCATAATGAAATTTTTCATGGGTAGATTTGTTTTGAGTTACTATAGACAACTGGACTATTTATCTTTGTCTTGGTTTAGGTAGTACTAGAAATTTATCCAAAGAGCACAATCCTATATATGCCCCACTAAATACAGTAACCAGAATCCTCTTAGTAGAGCAACCATTGAGTTGACTGAATTCTATCAACTTTGTTATAGAATTTGCAGAAGCGTTGAGCCACCATTCATTGACCCAAAGTAACCTATTTATTTATTTATTTGCAAGATTTTTTTTAGCCGCGCCATTACCAGTGGTCTCTGAGCAGCGTACAACAATACTAAAACTTTAAACACATTAAAACCATTAAAAATAGGCAATATTATAATAATATCCTATATTAAAAATCATTAAAACATTAATATTAATAAATCCTGCTGTTCATATGCCCAGCTATAGAATACTATTTAATTAAAATGCTAGCTAAACAGAAAAGTCTTTGCCCGTCGCCCAAAAGCCAAAAGTGCTGGAGCCAGGCAAAAATTTACTCTTACTATTAGTAAGTAAACTTTGCTTAATATTTCCTGAAAGTTGTATTGGGAGAAGAAAATAGGGACAAGGAGAGCCATGTAAGTTACATTATGCTCCTTGGAGGAACAGTAGGATATAACTGTAAACAGAAAAAAGGGTGTAGGATTGTGCCCTTAAATTAATCTGACTTCATGGCATGGGAGAATCTGTTGTGAAGATGTTTATTTGTTTGTTTGTTTGTTTGTTTGTTTGTTTGTTTGTTTGTTTGTTTGTTTGTTTGTTTGTTTGTTTGTTTGTTTGTTTGTTTGTTTGTTTGTTTGTTTGTTTTTGCTCTTTACCTTGCTACAGCAAACTGTGGCATTTTCCTGTTCTAAGTCAGAAGAGTCTCCGGCATTAGCAACAACTGCTTGTCATGTGTCTCCACTCAAATCCCAGGAAGGTGAGCCCACTGCCTGAAATGTTTTCAGTTGCTAGCTGCCAGACAGAAATAGCAGGGGATTATCAACTCCCCTGAAAAGGGGGTGAAAGTGCAGTTCACCGGGAGGAGAGCCTCTCCTGACTGGTCCTTCTCATTGTTTGTGCACCTCTTGATTTGTTGCCCTGAGAGCAGATCAGGGGTGGGGGAAATGCCATGCCCCCTCTTCCTT